CCCTAACGCTAGCACCCAGCTGGACAGATGAGGGGACTCAGCCCTCCTCCGTTTGGTTCCGGCACCACGTATTATGCACTATCAAGCCTGATGATATCATTGTTAACATTAACGTCAAGTTTCATGTAAGCACTCCTGTGTCCATTTTGCATTAAATAAGCAGACACTGGAAGGATGTGGTTATTTGATTTCTTGATCTGCAGCTGTTGGATCTTTGCCACCACAAGCCTCAGTGAACTCTAGATGACCCTGCAACCATTTTCACGTAGGCCAGAGGGGGAGCACTTCCTTTAGTGACTGGACAGAGTGACTGGTGTGAAAGAGGCAAGGCTATGATTGGTGCAAACACAAAGCACCATTTGTAAGTGACTGTGATTGGTGCAAACTGCCTTCTTCCGGCTGTGTCAGCAGGCTGCTCAGCTCTGGGCTGCTTCGGCTGCCTCCCCCTTGCTGTTGCCACATTAGGCAGGCAGCCGAAGCAGCCAGGACAGGGTGACGGGAGAGGGATGGCAGAGCCTGGAAGAGGGCTTGAGAAGGGGCCCAGCGTCGCAGCTGACGGCACCGCTGCTGCCTCTCTTTGCTGCCACATTGGAGCCACACAAACACCAGTGCTCGAAGAGCTTCTTTTTTGCCACCCGTGACTTCCGTCCAGAGAGAGGAAAATGGTCTTAGGGTGGTGGTGAGTAACACGGAAAGACTCTGCTTTTCGGTTGGCACCCTGGGGCAGCACCTGGGCAGACTATGAAAACACTGCTTGGGTCTGCCTCCGACCCTGCCACTTCCAGGACTGCTGCTTGGGCAGTAGTTTCATCTCTCTGTGCTTGTCCTCACCTGGACAGTGGGGTGATAACAGGCCGACCTCCCGAAGCCCTTGCCTTGGTTGGAATGACATGTAGGAAGCACTGAGGACGCAGCTGGTGTCTTAGTTGCTGGTCCACTGCTGTGAAGAGACACCATGACCAAGGCAACTCTTAGAAAGAAAAGCATTCAATTGGGGGCTTGCCTACAGTTTCAGGGTTAGTCTATGATCATGATGGTGGGTGGTGTGGCGGCACACAGGCGACATGGCGCTGGAGCAGTAGCTGAGAGCTTTACATCCTGATCCTCTGGAAGTAGGCAGACAGAGAGACAGACAGACAGACGGATGGACAGACAAGGCTGGGCATGGGATTTTAAAACCTCAAACGCCACAACAGTGACATAACTTCTTTAACAAGTACAGACCTATTCCAACAAGGCCACACCCTAACCTCTCCCCCAAATAATTCATCAACTGGTGACTAAGCATGCAGATATGTGAGCCTATGGGGAGGGGGTCATTTTACTCTAACCACCATAGGCTGGCTCATAGTGAGTAGTGTTTAAGTGCAGTTAAGTGTTTCAGCCCTTTCTGGAAGTCGGTCAAATGATATGTATCTAAAGCCATTACAATGTCATGACGTCATCCCTGTCCCAGTGACAGCAGTGTATATATTTAAGCACGGTAGAAATCTTGGAATGGTGGCACAAACTTGTAATCCCAGCTTTAGATGGCAGAAGCAGGTGGATTGCTACAAGTTTGAGGCTAGCCTAGTTTACACAGCAGGCTCCTTGCCAATTAGAGAGACATAGTGAGACTCTTTCTCAATAAGTAAAGGAAATCCCAAAATCGAGCAAGCAAGCAACCAAAGAAACAAATACCCAATAAGCATTTAATGTTTATTGACTTGTATTTACTGGTATGTACATCTGTGTGCATGTATGCAGCTATATGATTGTGGTCATATACAGTTATATGTGCTTGAAGAATTCATATGGCCTAGTGATATCAATAAGATAATATTACTCACGTGTTTGCAGTTAATGAGTGTAAATAAACCTACTGTGCCCATTACTGCAAGGCTGGTCATGTAAAGTATGGCAGTTCAATGGTATGTGATGCCTAATATTTGAAAATGATTATAACTGATTTGTTATTCTCTTTAGTATGCTTTTTATCATAATTTTAGCTCATACTTCTACTTTCAACAGAGTACTAGGGCAGTGTGTGCCACTGCCAGCAGCCTTGTGCTCTACATATTTGCCTGATGGCCTCATGCTGCCATTCACGGTGACTGGTTTCTGCCATCTACTTCCATGCAAACACATTTGATGATATATTTTTACAAGGACAGAACCGCCTAACAGCATAGAATGCATCTGACATACAGTGACACATGAATTTTCTTAGGGAATGAAAAGAAGAGAGTAGAGATTCTCCTCACAGTTGCCACTTTGGGCAGTGAACACCTGCTGTTGTTTCTAAGCCTCTGCGGTGGTTTGAATAGGGATGTCCCCCATAGACTCATGTTTGAAGGGCCACTGTTAGGTGTGGCCTTGTGGGAGGAAGTGTGTCACTGTGGAGGTGGGCTTTGAGATCTCATACACTCAAGCTAAGTCTAGAGTGGCACACAGTCTCCTTCTACTTCCTGTGGATCAAGCTTCTTCTCCAGCACCAGGTCTGCCTGTGTGCCACCATGTTTCTCACCATGATAATGGACTAAACCTTTGAAACTGTAAGCCAGCCCCAGTGAAATGCTTTCCTTTGTTGTGGTCATGGTGTCTCTTCACAGCAGTGGACCCCTGAACCCTGACTAAGACGGGCTCCAAAGGCCTTCCATGTGCTTATCTGCGTATTCCAGTGCAATACTCCCTCTAACTCACAAGCCAATGTAGCACTATCCCAGACGTACGCGGCACTACCCTGATGCCCGTGTGACAATCAGAGTCAAGCACCAAACTGCCAAAATGTTCCCGGAAAGGCCGTGCTTACTCATAGGGTCACATGAACACACACACTCCCACAGTAACTTCCAACAAGTCCCTCTGCACACACAGCAAACTTTCACACTAATGAGTTTTAAGCTCTCTGGCCAGGTTTTGGTGACTGATAACTAAGAAATTTATATTCCAAATCTGGCTCCTCCTCCCTGTGATTTGAAACAAGCCCCTCTCTCTGGGATCTTGGAGGTTGCTTCTGGCAGCCCCAGAGTTAGACTCCTTAATTTCCCAAGCCCTGGTGAGTCTCCTGGGGGTTCTAGCACTGCAGAGAAAGAGGAGCACAGTGGTTGCTGAGCATGCCTTGCAGTACTGATCTTGAAAAACCCTGAGTGCTCACTGTGCCTTCCCCACATGAGGCTGAAGGCTGCAGGGTGCTAAAGTGTGTGACCTCTGGGGTTGATGGATGACCTGATTATATTGAAAACTGGCAGCTTCCACTGACTGTGTTGTTGCATTAGACAGATTTGTCCTTTGATGGATTGACAGCCATATTCAAGGGGTCTTGACAAAGAAGGAGCTCTTACAGTACATCTGCATTTTGCTGTTCACTTTCTCATCTTAAGAGACTCGGAGTTGAAATCACTCCTTTATGGATGCAAGCTCAGTCCTGCGCGTTGAGTACCAACTTTAGCCACCAGAGGGCACTCTTGCAACGTGACGACCAACAGCTCTCCTGGAAGCTGCTTTCATCTTTGCCACAACACCTGAACTTAGTGACTCTCAGACTTCAACCTAGAGCAGTTCTCCCCTTTCCTCCAGACATTTAGCACTGTCTGGAGGCATTTTGGGTTGTCACTGCTGCATGGACATGGGTGCTGGTACTGTCTTCTGGGTCTGGATCCCATGTTCTGATAAGTATTCAGAAGTGTACCAGACAACTCTCAATAACAATGAATTACACAGTAAAAAAGTTCCCATGGTGCCGGGGGTGGGGTGGGGTGGGGTGGGAGGTCTGCTTCACTGAGACCCATGGCCTACGGCAGAAAGAGTACCACCTGGAAGCCAGTCCTCACTGTGGACTTTACCCATCCTGCAGGAGAACCTTAGAGCGTAAATCTCACAGCATTTTCATCACCTGGAATATGGGGACTACAGTCAGTCACCACACACCAAACAGGGCTAGCCCCTGTGAACAGGACAGGTCCAGCGGGAGCACCACCCACTTCCTGGTGCAGTGCAGGCAACACTGTTTTGTAACCTGAGCGGGGTAATAGGAAAGCCCACAGCGGGGTGAGACCTAGGCTTTTGGAGGGGTGGGAAGCCGTTTTTACTGTGGCCATGGAAAGAGCCTGGCACCTGTTTGTTTGTTTGTTTGTTTGTTTGTTTGTTGTTTTGTTTTGGCCTTGGGCTGGAGGAGACAGGCAGAGGCCCTTTTTCCAGATCTAGGGCCTGCTTGGGAGCATCTTGGCCGTTCTGTGGATGAGGGTTGTGCCTTGTCCTCGGAAGCTGCTCTTACCCATTTTAGTTGATTGACAGCGCGTGGCTACAGGACCAGGTGTGGCTGCAGAAAGTTAATATGAGAGAGCCTTCAAGAGGAACTTGGAATGGGCAGAACCCTCTGGGCCTTTCCAGCTCAGGAGCTGTTCCACCAAAAGGACAGGAGACAAATCCGTGTAATTGATAGCCTAGAGGCAGGAGGGCAGCATGGTTCAGTGGCCTCGACTCCCATGGAGTGCTCTGTCCTTAAGCAGGGGCACCGCCCTTGTCATGTGTCCTCTGGCACCAGGTGCTCAGTGCTGCTGCTCATCCTTAGGAGCCCAAAGGCAGAGGAAGAGGAAATTTAGTAGCAGCTTCCTTTCCCACTTTGACCATTAGAAGTTTGCCAGAGCTCTTCTAAAGGGGTCTTCAGATCTTAGGCAAAGGCCCCTGCCCTTCCTGCTGGTCTGTCTTGGGACCCGGCTTCCCTTGTTGCTCTGGAGCTCCGGGGCTCTTGCTTGGTTTACCCTTCTCTCTTAGGTGTGAGAAGAAAGAAGCTTGGTTGGGTGATTCCAGTCCCTCTCTAAGCCTCCTCTGTGTTTCCCAGCAGGATTCCTGGGTTGCATTTAGTTCTGACTGGAACACAGAAGGAACACAGCCAAGGCAGGAGCGCTGGAGAAACACTGTTGGCCAAGAGGACATTTTTCTTCGTTTGAGACAGGGTTTCTCTGTGCAGCCCTGTCTGACCTGAAACTCACTCTGTAGACCAGGCTGGCCTCACAGAGATCAGCCTCTGCTGGGATTAAAGGTATGTCCTTCCACACCTGGCACCAAGCAGTGGAATATTACAGACATCAGAAAGCCAACTCCTTCCTTTCTCTATCTGTACCTGCCTGGGTCTTAGGGTCATGGAGATGGAAGCAAGAACCTTCCTGGGACAGAGGCTTCTAGTGACTGAGCAGTCAGAGGGAGCACAGAGAAATATGTGAAGGGGTTGGGAGAGGTCCTGGAACCCTTAGCCAAGATGGGGAAATGAACCTGGAAGAAGAGACACTAGGTGTTAAGCCAAATGAACCCCGGTCTGCTAGAGCCTAGCCCCTTAATTCCCTCCTGTGGCTGTAGGCATGAGACACTTCAGTGATGGGAACCTTTAATCTCATTTCTCTCTCTCTCAAAAAAAAAAAAAAAGTTGGTTAATCACACCTCCTTAGGCTAATGGTAATTTGGTAGCAGGGGAGGGGCTTCTGTTTCCCGGTGCCCACCCTCACCCTCCAGACCCTCCTCACCCTCTACTCCTCACCCTCCAAACCCTCCAGTGAGTCTGGCTGCTGTCCAACTAGGAGGAGGTGCAAAAGCTGGGGCAGGAGGAGAGGGAAGGAGCCACCCCTTCACTTCTTTCTCTTCAGTTAAGGGGGATCTGAAGGCCACGTGGCTCAGAGGTTCTCTGGACTGGGGGACATAGGAGTTTCATGCCCAAGTTAGAGTCCTCGAGCCTCTAAGGAGGGTTCCTCACTGGAGTCTAGGCATCCCCTTGGCCCTGGGCCAGGATTTACTAATTCCTCAGGCCCCAGAAAATGACACCCTGTCTCAGCCTGGCCAGAAGGGGAAGCCCTGGAAAATGCCAGGCACCTGGCGTACACAGGGGACCTGGTAGCCAAAGACCAGGCTTGGAGGACTCTGAAAGTGGCTGCCCAGTGGAGAAAGAAGTCAGGACGGGCCCTGAGAGGTGGGTCCAGTTACAGCGAAGGTGGGGTGCAGAGGCAAAGGAAGCAAAGCTGGCCTGGTCAGTTTGGAGGTTCTGGCAACAGCAGCAAGGGCTCTGCCAGTCTGGGCCCACGGCAGAGCCAAAACCTAGAGAAAGAGAAAAAGAGTCAAGAGGGCACCCCTCGGGAGATAGCCACTTCATCCTTTCCTTCTCCTCCCTCTTCCCTCCCTACTGCTCTCTCCTTCTCTCCCCACCCTTCCTCCTTCCTTTCCCTCTCCCCCATACCTTCCCTTCCTTTCTCTCCAACAGGAGCTAGGCTGGCCTTGGATTTATTATGCAGCTGAAGATGGCCTTGAACTCCTGATCTTTCTGCCTGTAGGTAAGCACTCCTCCAATGGGGCTCTAGCTAGACCTTTCTCCTGATCAGCCCTCCCTCCCCTTCACCTCTCTCCCGTTTTCTGCTTCTTTGGCTCATGGTGCTGCTCCTGGATGGCACTTCCTGAGACTCTGCCAGCCTTGTGGGAGTGTTGCTCCTGCCTCCTCTCTCCTGATGGTGCCTGTCCTGGGGCACCTGGCTGGATCTGTTGCTGTCCCTAGCAGTGCTAGAGCAGGAACTGTACTGATTTCATTCTCCCCTGAATATAGTCCAGACTTGACAGATTAAGTTCTCAGTAAAGATGTGTTAGAGACTGAATGAATATTCTGTGCCCTGACCAGTGAATCTACCCTGTATTCCTCCTACCCCCACGCAAAGGCTCCAAGTCTTAACTGGGTAAAAAATCGGTTGTGGGACCAAGAATTGTTGCCTAAAAATGAAGGCCTCTGGATCCCCATCCAGGAAGTGCCCACTCTTGGTTAAGATCAATGACATCTGCTAGGACTCTGCGGAAGAAGGCCCATGGCCATGTCCGGGGCCCACAGCCCTCCTCTTCTCTCGGACACCAGCCCCACAGCGCTCCTTCCTCCAGAGAGTCTCCCTCCTTCCATTCCACCCAAACCCACCTTCTTCCCCTTCTACCTGCTAGGCCCCACTGGCTGCCTGGGCTGGGGTCCCTGGAAGTGGCCAGTCAGAGCTTGTATGTGTTTTTCTATTTCAGCCTCTTTGAAATGCTACATCTTTACAAGGCCACGCCATTTTATTAAGAGGCTAATGGGGTCACATGGGTGTGATACAGTGAGTAAAACCTGGGAAAGAAGATCAGGTATTGCTTAATATAGCCAGTTTATTAGCTAGGAATATTTCTCAAGCCAGATTCATCAGGGATTAAAGTAGTCAAAATGATTCTCCATGAGGGACCATCTGGACTGCTGCTGCCAGTTGTTCTCTCTCTGCAGGACAGTGTCTTTCCCTTGGGCCCTTACATGAGGTAAGGGCTGCTGTCCACCTTGTTGCTGAGTGGGCATGGGGAAGAGGCCTTTTGGAGTCTCCCCATTTCCTGAAGAGGTTGTGCCCCCATGTACCTGTGCCCAAGAGCAGCTTCCTCTCTTGGCACCATGTGATCTGAGTGAGTGTGGGGGTAGGGCAGGAAGTAGAATTCCAGTCTGGAAGCATGGTGAATGAGGGCAACCAGCCCTCTGCTGGCCTAAAACCTTCATGCCCTTTATAGCCCAAGCATAGGGAGAGAGAGAGAGAGAGAGAGAGAGAGAGAGAGAGAGAGAGTAATGTGTGTGTGCACCCCTCCACCCTGCCTCCGTGGCCTGCCTCATGCCCTGCACTGTGAATGGGTAAAGGTGAGCGGTCCCAATCTTACAAACTCAGCTGGAGGGACATGGACCTCGGCAGAAGATGCCCGCATTGGATCTCTCCACAGAAAGCCCCCCTCATTGCTTTGAGGTCTGCCTTCTCCCTTCACTCCACCATGAAGATGCCCGCATTGGATCTCGCCACAGAAAGCCCCTCATTGCTTTGAGGGCTGCCTTCTCCCTGCACTCCACCAAGAAGTGTCGCTAGCTCGCTCCCAGTCCCCCTTCCTGTCCCAGGCTGTTAGCTGAGCCTGCAGTGCTTTGGAAGATGGCTCCATCACGTTACTGAAGACTCCCCTGCTGTCCCTAAGCACCCTCAGTGCCCGCTCTGTGCCAAGCAGCAGGAACACTGTGGATCTATTGCTAACTGCTTTTAAGCCTCTTGGCTAAAAGGCAGCATTGCTCACACCTGAGTTTTCAGACCCTGGCACATTAAACAAGAGGCAGTTAAACATCTGAGGGAAGGAGGAAGACCATGAGCTTCTCCTGCCCATCTCTCTTCAGCTGAGGTTCCTTCTTCATCCCAAGGCCCTACAGTCTCCTTCTCAGATTGTCTAAAAACAAACAAACAAACAAACAAACAAAACAAAACAAAAAATTTCCTCATGGAGACTAGAGAGATGGCTCAGAGGTGAACAGCCTTTGTGCTCTTCCAGAAGCTCAAGTTCTGTTCCCAGCACCCATATCAGACGGCTCACAACTGCCTACAGTTTTAGCTCCTGGGTGTTCACTGCCTCTGGCCTCTCAAGGGCACCTGTACTCTCGTGCACACACACAGGCATGTAGATACACTCCCCTACACATAGTTTAAAATAACCAAAACCCAAATGAAAAGCCTTCCAGCGATAGCCTGGCTCTTCCCCTGATCCATCCACACTGCCTGCCCACAGATGCTTGTTGACTAATGGTAGAGTTACATGCTGACAGACCCCCTGGGAGCAGAGAACAACCCAGTCAAAGTGTGCGTGTGGCCTCAGACTGCGGCAGTGCGGCAGCGCAGTGTGGAGTGGCTCACTCCCCGCGCCCCCCACTGATAGCCAGGGGAAAGGTCAGACTTCAGAACCCTGGTATGGTTTCTGTCATGGTATGCATATTGCCTCTGCATTGTATCAGAAGGTCTAGAAGATCTAAGTCAGATCATTGTCAGGTTGGAACCTTCTGTAGTTTGTAAAATGAAATAGAGACCGGGGACGTAGCTCAGTCAGCTGAGTGCGTCAGGAGCATAGAAAAGCCCTGGTTCCATTGTCTGTTCACAAGAACAAATAAGCAAAGTGAAAACCTAAACAGATCTCTTCTTGGACTCTCTCTGCTCTTCATGTTTCTGAGGCCTTTTGGACCTGGGTAGCTGTGGGTCTGGCAGACTTTGCCTCAGGCCTCCGGCACCTTCCCATCCTCCTTGACAAAGCAGCCTCCCAGATGTGCCACACCTGCTGACAGCTCCCACTTTCCCTCTCCCAGGGCACCTTGCCCTCCTTCTCCTCCTCTGGGCTGCCCCCAGCACCCGTAGTAACCAGCAGACCTTCCATCTCTGCTTCCTACCAGCCTCTGTGCGTCTTACTGTTCTTATCCTTCCTGTCTGAGCCCCACACCGAGTAAACAGCTAGAATCACTAAACATTGACTGAAGAGCTCTTATCCCATGCCTACTGGAGCTTCTGCTCAGCCAGGCAGGCTCTGGGAGGCTCTCTTCCTCTGTGTGAGATCCCTACCAGTTGGGCTCTCCGCACTCACAGTTGAAGCTGCTGATCTTCTCCCCAGAGGTCTCCGGTGGCCTCCATGGGGTCCTCTCTCCGGCTGTCTGAGTTTCTGTGGCCCGTGTGTACAGCATGCTATGTAGGGGCTGGGGGGGGGAGCAGAAAGGCTGGGTGGGACAGGTTCTCTCTAGTAGCTTGTCTTACAGCAGGACTAGCATTCAGTTGTTCCCCCATACCAGTTCTCAAACAAACAGTGGCCATGTAGATTGCTCACTGTTTCAGATTCCTTAGACCCTCCCGGATCCCTTACCCTGCCCTCTGACGCATCACTAAAGATGAAGTCTACCACAGAAATGGCCCTTCCTCACAGGTGGGTATGGCTCACAAAGACTAGCTCTTGGCGTACTTGGGGACTAGGCTATGGAAGATTACTGGAGACCAGCGGGGGAGGGCTCTAAGGTGGAGAGTGGCCTGGGACCTCCAGGACAGAAGGACAGGTCCTGCCAGAGCTCTGAGGACAGGGATGGCCTTCATGCCTACCTCACTCTGCACAGCCACAGGCACCAAGGCTGGCTGACACAGGGCAGGGGCCCCCAACAGCAGGTGAGGGGCAGAGGGGGCCCACACTTTCCATGCAGGACAGTTGGCTACCATGAGCTTGCTGAAGTTGAATTTGTAGGTAAACCTCTTGCCTTTGGTCTTGTGCAGGATCCTGTTATTGTAGTAATACCTAGAGAGTTGAGAGTCGGCCTGTGAGGAAGGAAGAGCCTCGCAGTCTCCCCATGAGTTACTGGAGAACACCCGCAGCCCTCCTACAGGGAGAGCATTTCCCAAGCTCTGCAATGGTGGGAGGCAGCCTGAGTGCCGGGAACCACAGCCCTTTCCTTGAACTCTGCCTCTCCTGCTGCTGGCCACCTCTCCTCACCTGAGGGCCCGGCTCAGCTTGTCATAGTTCATCTGTGGCTTG